TTAAATTTATGTGAGCATAAGAATAAATGGCACGCGGTGGCAAAAAGATTGAATGGCCTGTTGAAAACGTAAAGGGGCACAAATCTCAACGTCATATTCTCTAAGCCAAGACCCAAGGTCTAAGGAGGTGTTGGCCTGATAGCGAATGCCATATTTGGCAATAACAACCAAAAGCTTTAATCTTTACAATAAAAATGTTTCCCGGTGATAAATGTAAATGCCAACCAGGAGTCATGTTTTGCCAAAACGACAATGTCAGAACATGCTGGTTGATCAAACTGACACCTTGACCCGCCCCTTCCGAAGGCATCCCATGAATTTTGATAAGCAAGAGAACCATTTCAATTTGTACTGACGGATTTAAGAAAGAACTGCACGGAAATTGAAATCAATTTACATATTTGGCATTCGAGTGTGGCTTTAATTTAAGCATGCTATTTAAAACGACTTCAAATGAAAGAGATTTGAAGTAAAGTGGCCAAGAGAACCTGTGCCACGTAAACCCATGCCCAAGATTAATGCTTACTGTGATGTCCAAAGTAAAAGTGAGTCGATTTTCGCTGGTAGAATAAACCACATGGGCCTGATAACCTGTTTTCTATAATATTGTGATCACAGTAACTAAATGGGACTAAAAAAAAAAACCAAGCAAACACCAAAACAATTGTTTCTATAGTTTTTCATAGTTGTGCAAGCACATAGCAATAAACCAAATTGTGTTTTGTAAGAATTGCTTTCTAAAAGAAAGTGTTTTCACAATTTCAATAGAAAACAAACTAGGCCTTTATGATAAACAGTGTTATAACTGATCGCTTATTTGTGGGAAAAATGCACAATTTTCTTCATTCATTCTCTAGTTCTATTATTTCTCGTATGAAAGAAATTTGCCTACACACTGTGTTGTGAAAAAAGGAGTCGTTAGGACCATGTAATGTTATATGTATTACAACACGCAGGACTATCTCTTGATTTGCGAGGCAGTGCAGTTACAACGACGCAGATTTCTGTCGATGCAACTAATCCCCTCTCCGCACGGCTCGCTGTTGACCGAAACCTCAGTACATTCTCGCACACTGGTAAGTCTTTCACCGCCTCTTACACAAGTCAACAGGAAGTTATAATCATCTCAGTTTAATGTGACAGAAAATGAAAATGATAAGAATATTCTTATAGCACACTGTAGTAAGGCAATTACCAATTAGTGTTTTAATATAGAATTTGTCTAAAAGCGTAGTCAGGATTTATATGCTGAATATGTGAAGCGCTTTTGAAATTCTGACACAATCCAAACTGATTTCCATTCCGCACGTAAATAAATATTGCCTTTGATAATACGATTCTGTCGTGAAGAATGAAAATAACTCTAATGCATCGTTGAATTTAAGCCGCTAACTGTATTTACTCATCTGACTGATTCTGTCTGTATGAACAATTTTATACACTCGAACAACTGAGGACCCTGAATATAATGATTCCAATGAACTGCTGAGGGAAGACTGACCTGTGTGCATGCTTACTCCTGCTCGTTCAAACAGGTTACGACACACCAGCGCAGTACACCAACCCTTGGTGGAAAGTGGACTTTGGTAGTGTCTACTGCTTGAGGAAAATCACACTTGTTAATGCAAAACATCATGGCAAGTACTTGGGAGTTTCATTGCATATCTTGTTGGATAGGTGGGCTTGGTTAATGGGTTCGTGAATTGGCAGGATGACTGACTATTCCAGACAATGGCAGGTTTTTATATTATATACACCGTAAGATGGAACGGATATGTTGCGTTTGTATTTTGTAAAAGCAAAGCTTACATTTACCAATGTCAGCGACGTGATGGGTACAGGGCCTCCACAACTGGAAAGAAGCATTTTAATGTAGACGCACTGTTGCTGATGAATGACAGCTGTCTACCCATTAACATCATCTGCAACAGTTCCGCCTTCAAATTTTCTACAGCGAACTTGCAAACTGCTACGCAAGTTTGAACAGCTTTCTTCAAAACATATATAATGCTAGACGTTGCCGTTTAATCCCTGCGCATAAATGCTGATACGGAGAGCAGAGAAAACAGCTCTAGTTCCTTTGAGAAAACTGCCCTAGTTAATTTGAAAAAAAGAGCGCCTTTCATACCACATTCCCTTTGTAGACAGACCTATACTCTGCTAAAAGATCCAACGAGAAGACGATATCGCGAAAGCAAAAACTTTCAAGTAGTTAAATTCATATTTGCTTCCTTTGCATGTCATTACTTTTTTTTAGTTGTATTATTATTATTATTATTAGATACGCTGGAAGAGTGCCAAGAGGTATTTCAAGCGCAAACCCCATTTTTTTGTCTTTATTAATCAAACATCTATTTCAGCATTCTAGGCATGCAAAATATAGCAAAAACTGCGTGAAGTAGCAGGCCATTGCAAAGTGCGCAAAAATAAAATTGGCAACTCCTATAAAGGATGATTCACTAGCTTGGGTTTTCACACCTTTTAAATTCAATGGTGATGGTCACATCAGCCAAAAATATTACTTCGATTGGATCATCATTTAAATGACTTGTATGACTGACTTTGCATTATATTTCACAAGTTATAGTTTTCAATTTGACCGCTAGAATTTATGCTTCGAAGTACTTTTGCTCTTCTTGAGACAATTTTGTAATTTCTGTCTTGCTTTAGAGACGAACGTGTCAGCAGAATCCTGTCAGTGCTGGAACAAGATTGACACATTTAACAATGTCTTTCCTTTTGTTTGCAGGAGAAAAAGTGTAGTGCACGTAAAAACAGTCATACTTCTCAGGGAACACGAAACTGTTTCTGTGTTCTTTGTGACTTTTCAAACCGCAAAAGCATTGTTTTACAAATGAATTGGAAAGGTGATCAAAGGAAGGTGGAGAAAAAGTCACATTTTCCAAAGTGTTCATTTTGGGGCGGTTACAGTAATCCCTGAACTTCTTTGATTAACCCTTTGCAGCTTTCAGCTCTCGATGCAGTTCCCCAAAAACCTCCTTTCTCCAATTGTGTCAAACATGTCCCTTTAGAAGGGACCCTTCCCCGTCCATCCGTAAATTAAATTGATAGATTCAGCCATCAACGTCAATTTACGGTTTTTCTCACGCAGTATGCTAACTTCGTAACTTTGCCCATTCCTGTACTGACCCATCACTATTTATAATAACACACTAGATATGATTTAAATGTTGTTTAAGTCAAAATAATTTACCCAATGCAATTGGTCAAGAACCTGTCACGCGACTCATCATCATTATGTAACCCTTAATCTACTATAGTTTCAGGTTTTTCACGAAATTTTTTATATCGTATGACAGTACTTTTCTTTGCCACACGTATACAAATGTCCCAAGCTACTGAGAGCGGTGATGACCGTAGCATGACACTTTATAAACTTCTGCACTCCTACTCTGATGCGGTGAAGGATTGCTTATTTATTATACGGTAATAATTACGGCAATCGACTGGAATCTCAAGTTCCCGCATTGTTGAACCTAACAATTGTTGGTAGGCGCACCATGCATTTCTTGAAGAAATACTCAGGCTTTGCAATACCAAGCAACCCTTACATATACCATAGAGGAAGGACACAGAATTAGTTACAACTCTGGCACAACTTAGTGCTTGATGATTATCGCCGCCCGGTCAGATGAACAATATTAAACATTCCAAAAATGCTTGATTGCTGCCTGCAGCTTAGCCGGACAAGTTGGGCCAGTAATATCGTAGTAGTATTTGTGGTGTTTTCGTTGTAATTAGCTGCAACTTATCGTAGTGCACTGGAAAAAGTAACATAAGAGTTACTTTTGCTGTGATTTTTTTTAAGATTTTAATTCCCGTTTCAATTATCCATGCAATGCTTGTATTTTTTTTTCAATCCAAAGCATCAGTTTTCAAATCTTTGTACGAATTTGGCAGATACTGTCCAACAACATGTTGACCATCACAGGACAGTTAAGTTCACTAAAAACAAAATGCGCTCTTTCATCGCAAGGGGTGATAATGGGATCTCATGAAATATCTCAGTTATTTATTTCCAAAATATGTTCGGAAGAAAGCTTCTGATAACGGCAATAACTGCACGTGAACACTTCGGGTACACACCTAATAAAAGCAACTGCTCTAGCATTAAATTTGGTGGTGTCTGTCAGATCATACCGAGCAGCAACGATGGTATGAATATTCAACTGTCTACACTGCAGTACACAACGTTTAAAGGATGCAGATTACCAACGAAAAATTGTGGCGATCATCATGGGGTACAAATGGGGCTTATGGTTGTGAAACAGGTGGTGCGTAGCACGTATTCGCTGCGCTCTGGCTGTGGACATACCGGGCAGAAAGAGGTAACTGGTCAGATGTTATAGTTTGGGCAGTTCAAACTACTTCTGTGTCCTTCCTCCATGGGTATACCGAGCAGAACATCACATACTTTTAAAGAGAGAATTTTAAATCTTTATATTGTTTCACAA